GTTAAGAACTGGAGGCATGGAAAGTGTATAACAGTGTCCATTCCTGCCACCCAGGAAGGATACATAAAATACTGCCCCTCTTCTTCCTTGTACTTTTAAAAAATGTTTTGGTATAATGTAATCTATTAGGATTTTTAAATTAATGCTGAAAGAGTGAGAAATTGCAAAGCAGACTTAGAGGTAGACAAAAAAAAAAGAAAGATTAATTGGATTATTCTGTACAGTACATTAGCTCAGGGCTCTCTTGACTTGGCTCTGGTTAGGGAGGAAAAAATCATCTATTTCTTTTAGCTGCTTGCAGTCTTTTCTTAAAATCAATCACAATAATAAGTAAAACATCATAGTTTAATTCCACTTATTAGCCCTAGCAAAAGGCACTGCCTAAGACAAACACCTAATATACAAATGTATGTACTGTTGGTAGAGAGCCCAAAAGCCTACCCTCTGGCATAGCCACCTACTGCGTTTCCATTCCTCCAAAGGTCTGGATGACTGCCTGCCCAACTTTATTCTTGAAAAAATTAATCAAGTACATTTTTTTATATCTGTTAGTCTCAAGTAAATTTCTAAACAGAGATATCCTATCAAGTCCAGTTCACCTAGTTGTATTGCTTCTTAGATATTATTAATGAAAAAAGAATTAAGTTGATTGTGGAAATTAAATCCTGCCAACTGTGATAACCTAGAAGTACATTATGTAATGTAAACTCTGCAAATTTCAGGTTTTAGCAATTCACTGCTGGATGAGAAAAAGTTCATGTTTTTGATACTTTATTTAAATACACCCTTGGGAACCATGAAGCATGATTTTCAATAATTATCACATTTTAATTGTTAGCACCCATTTATCTAATAACTTTTAATACTTGAAGCCATTTGTTGAAAAATATCCAGATGCTCTGATATTTCAGAAACTCTTTTCCCTCAATACAAACCTATTTCTGAATTAAGAAATTTTACTAATAATGAAGTCTTCTGTGCTTAATCTTATTGGCAACTAGAGAACGTCCACCTCCTCAAATTTTAAATACTCTCCTGAAATCAAAGAAATTAGGAACATATTATTGTCCATCTAGCCACATAAATGACTTCAATTTTAAAAAATTAACAACAGCATTCAATGGCTCACTTTTAAGGTTCTCCCACAAAATAACTTTAATTCGGTAATCAACATGTCCATCTTTAGAAAACTCACAGCTAAATAAATACACATTATTTGACAATTCCATATTTGAAATGAACTCCCTCAATGTAGTCACTTTCAAAAACATCTCTTATTTGGTGGCCATTAATCACCAAACCTATGTTATTTGTGCAAAACTGAAAGTCTGTTTACCACTCAGGCTTTGGAATCCTCTGCCTATATAATTAGCCTTGAAGAATAACGTTTCTAACAAGTATACCATTAAAAAACATTTGCACATTAGCAACTAGTACAGTTTTCACTTAACACCTCTATGAACAAAGTTATATGCACTCTGAACACATACTTAAATAAATAATCCAATTACATTCTAGAGCTCCCTTCAAGAAAGTCTTATTTAGTAAAGAAAAATACTTATAACTAACGTTGCTTCTGCCAAGGTGTTGCCTCAAAACTTCTGTGAGATGAGGCAAGGTAGACATATATAAATAAATCTGAATAAAATATTAATACATAGCAGCTTCTTATTTATTTAGGATGTGCTTTTAAGTGTGCTCAAAGAAAGAAGTTATAAGTTTTATCAGAGGAATTGGTAAATCTCAATATGGAAGTGGCAATATGGTACAAAGGTTTTGGAGCATAGATATGGAGCCCAGATACCTCAGGTTGAATTCCAGCTCCACTGTTTTATGTTAAATTAAATCAGCCTTCAGCAATTTACTCAAACTCTCTATATCTTAATTTCCTCTTCTGTAAAGTGAAACTCTTCAGAGAACTTTCCTTTTTGGGGTTTTATGAAGATTAAATGAGATTAACCATGTAAAAGCACCTAACACATAGCAAGCACTAAATACTGAACATTATCATCATGATCATCTCACTGCACTATAAATTTAAAAAAAAACGGGATGTACAAGTAGTGGAACAATTCAATTCTTCCATACACAAACCAGACCAATAGGCAGGCCCCAAGCCAGTTAGTGAACCCTATATTCAGACCATGAGTCTCAGGTGTCAGTTTCTGTTCATTAGACCTTAAGAGGCCTCTCACTGCCAGGATATCTCATCTGAACAATCGAAAGCACAATCTAGTTACTCACACTATATCACATTAATATGTAAATTCATTACTTAAGCAAGAAAATCACAAACAAGTAGTTCATTCATGACTCATTTTATTCATAATGATCTCAAACTTGTCACCCAAAAATTGGATTTTAAAGCTACAGTTAAATGAAGTAAACACATTCACATCCAAATTCATTCAGTGGTGTCAAAACTCAATATAAAGAAACTAGTATCTCAGAGAAGATATGGTTAGTCCACTACACAGAGATTGTTAAATACTGAGAGAATGTGTCATTATTTTGAAAAGAACAAGCTTAAATGATGAGCAAACACTATTAATTTACACAAGCAATGACCCCTTGTTTTAAGACTGCATTCATAATTGCACATAGAGTCTTAAAATGAAAACAGCTACATATAACAGAGGAAAGTTTCATCCTTAAAAGAAGGACCTCATCTTTATTGCAAAATTTCTGGATAAGAAAAAGATAAAAGATTATAGTGGCACATGAGTAGATTTTTTTCCTGTCTGGGCTGAATCTTCTATAAAAATAGAGAACTCCTTTTTCCCTAAGGTTGGTTTATAATTAGATTCCTTAATAATTCAATGACAGGAACCTTTATTACAGTCAAATGACCTTTTTCAATTATATTTTCTCCTAATATATAAGCTCTGCTAGGCAGGTGTGATCTCTTACAGATAATAAAACCTTTATATATTCATTAAGTTTTTCCCTTTGTGTTCATCCTTTTCTCCTATTTGACATTCTAACAGTAATTAAAACTTTAAAAAGTATAAAAAATTGCTAATGTATTCTGGTAAAAACTTTGATTTGTAGAATATTTATTATGTCCCTATTTTTCATTGTATCATGAAAACTGTCCAAGCTAAAATATTTCACTCTTCCATGACTCTTCTTTAAAATTCTCATTTCAAAAGAATATAGCTTGTGAGGGGAAATGTGTACAATATTATAGCATAAAGAAATGTTAGGATTTGAAAACCTGGGTAATAAAATTGAGATACATGCATAAAATTGGCATTAGGTTCAAAAGCTCGTGCCATAAACAGCCCCATCCCACTAAATATATAAAAGATGCATAAGAATATGGTAATTGCATTTGAATTACTTAAAATTTTTAATCTGTAAGTATTTGTTTAAAAACAAAAGAAGTTAAATGACTATTAAAGCACCATGTTAAATGCTCTGGAATTTGAAAACTACAGTCATCAAACCTCACTTGCCCTATGGATACCACTTTATATTCAGTGAATTTCGGTGGCAATAAATCAAAAGATGTAAAACCCTTAAGTATGTGACTGGTATGTGTACGTTTGAAATCACATATTCATCACCATAAATCTATGACGATGTAGGTAAAAATGCTTTACTATCACTCTTCTCGTCACTCAAATGATAAAACTGAGGTACAGTGATTAAAGAACTTATTCAGACACCAGCCAACCGTTAGCAATTTTACTTTTTTATTAGGTTTCTTAGCTTTCTAGTTCACACAGTGGGGAAAGAAACCGAAGAGTATCATCTGGGAGATGGAGCATCATCTGAGAGAAAAGAATATGCACTCTGTGGATGCTAACATTCACAAAGGAGATGTGGGAATATCTAAATTTTACACGTCATCAAACACTAACAAAAACGAAAAAGGGAACTGAAACAGGAACCTTCTGAATCCCAAACCACTAACCAGCCAAATAAAAAGAGTAAAGTACAATCTCTGGATTGTTCTCCCCTCTAGCTCACGATCTTGGCTGCTGTACATTTCTACCTGGTTAACTACTAGGAAACAGATTTCAGCTTTCATAATGCTTTCCGATAGGCTTTGCTTAGCAAATGTCTGTGCTCTTCAGGCAAGGCCGTTAAGGTAACTTAATTCCTCATGAATTGCTCAATGTGTGCAAGAGATGCCGATTCCCAATTCAAAGATTAATTCTTTAGCTTTCCCTGTATTAAGAGTCACGAAGAACCCCATAACTATAATTTAGATTCAGCATGTGGTCTAGAAGTGTCACGGAACAAATAAGAGCCTAGGGAACGGAAAATGATGCTGGGGGAGGGGGCGCCGAGAGAGTGCGAGAAATGCTGGTCAATTCCGCGACGACGCCGGAATGACTTGGCATCTGGGCAACACAAATCCAAGCCCACCCCCTCCGACTCTGCCTGGGTTCCTCTGACATCTGCCCCGAGCTGTGAGTCCGTGCACAGGCGAACACACCACCTTTTATTCCGGGACTCCTAAGAGGAGAATGGTGGGGACGCGTCGCTGGATAAAGCTTCACAACAAACGGTTTCTTTCTCCTCGCACCCCGCCTCCCTGCTAGGGGCAGGCGACGACTGTCTCCAACAGTAGGCAGCTGAGGAGCAGAGCACCCGGGCGAGAGGAAAGCATCTGGGGGGAGAAGCCCCGAAGGCTAGCGGAGCGCGGCGGGGAGGCTGACAGGAGGGGGGAACCGGGCCGGGCAACCGGAGAGGGCAACGGGGCGCCGCATCAGGCAGCCCGGCAAAGCGCCCGGCAGGGGAAGCCGATGCCGGGCGGACCCCTCCCCCGACTCCCGGACCGGAGGACGAGAGGAAATGGCTTTGTATCACAGGATGAAAGGCAGGCAGGAGGGCCACCAGGCGCGGGGTGGGGGGGGGGGGGGGGGGGGGGGGG